CCGTCTCCACAGTTGCTGTACCACCGCTGAGCGGCTGGGTCACCGGCTCGGCTCCTCAGTGAAAACCTGGTATGCATTGCACCAACTGCCTTTTTATGCTCACGCTGTGATCAGCGGCAGCTGGATGCAATAATTGCATGCCAATGTGCATTGGCTCGTTTAGTTACACTCGAAGCGAGATCCCAATTCGTCAGTCACGATGTGACGTCTCTGTTCCCTCCTTCAGGGAACGAGGGTTACATACGTAACCGAGATGTTTAAAAGAACAGCATTTATTTGAAAAATAAATATTTTTTTAACATTATAAATGTCTTTACTGTCATGTTTGATCGATTTAATGCATCCTTACTTTATAAAAGCATTATTATTTTCATAGATAAATGAAGTTTTTTTTGTCTATTTTGAAAGTTAACAGCGCCTATTCTGCTAAACTTCTCCTGTTGTGCTCCACAGATGAAAAAAAATACACCATCAGAGTAAATGGAAAAAAAAAAAAACATTTTTGACTGAACTATTCCAATAAGTTGTTGCTGGTCCACCAGCTAGATACCGGCATAAACCAACCCGGAGCTGCAAATGAGTCATGATTGTCTGTCTTTAGTGGAGGTGGTGAGGCGTGTCTGTACCTTGAACCCACTGACTGATGGTGGTGATGGTGAAATGCTCTCCGTAACCTGAGTGAAACACCCGAGAGCTCCTGGCCTCAGATGAAGCCTTGGTTCCTGAACACACAAACATACAAAAAACACCAGCATCAGCTCGCCTTCAAGATATTTCCTTTCCGAGCTGCTGTTTGCTTTCCATCGCTGGGCAAACAAGTGGGCAAAAAGAGGCTCACCCTGATAGACAGCATGATCCTCGACCGCTGAGGACGTGTCCCCTTTGACTGTAATAAAACTCCACGGATGCCTGCAGAGAAACACACACAAGAGAGAGAGGAAGGTGTGTGAGGGACAAATAAGTCTGAAGATTTGGCCATGAATAAGATGTCCCTCCTAGACAAACATTCTGACTTTCACTGCTGTAAATGATATTGACTTAAGGTGTGATTGGCGGCTCGCACTTCTCAGAGAGGACTTGGTAATTACAACGCCAGGGTTTCCCATCAGCCCTTGCACCACTCTGAGAGAAGCAGCCTGACTGACACCATCATCAGGACAATTTTATTCAGCTAGACCAGTGTATAAGTGTATAATATAAATAAAATAAAATAAAACAAAATAAATAAAAGTTAAAATTATATAGCTGTACTTTTTAGAAAACAAACTAATAAAAATTGCAAAACAAAATGTAATTGTTTTTTGAATAAATATTTTTTTTATGTTTTGTATTCATTTATTATATATCAATAATTGTATTTATTTGGTAATAATTTACAATAAGGTCCCATTAGTTAACATTAGTTAATGCACTAACTAATACTGTATTAACTAACAATGAGCAATAAATTTGTTCAAGTATTTAATAACCTTTGTTAACATTAGTTAATAAAAATACAAGTGTTCATTGTTAATTCATGTTAGCTCAGGTCCATTACATAATATAAACAGATACAAGGTCTGATTTTAATGATGCATTAGTAAAATATTGGAATTAACATGAACTTGTTAGTCCATGTTAGCTATATGTAGTGTATTTAGCTAATGCTGTTAACAAATAAAACCTTAATGTAAATTGTTACCATGTACTTTACTCTTCCAAGGCAGGCAAATGAGAAATTGTTTGGTCACACTTTATTTGGAGACCAATTCTCACTATTAACTAATTATTAACCATAACTTTTGCCTAAATAAACTCATAATTTGCTTCTCATTAACAGTTAGGTTAAGTCTGGGTATATGGTCATGCAGAATAAGGTATTAATATGTGATTTATAAATACTAATAAACAGCCAGTATGCTAGTAATATGCATGCTGATAAGCAACTAGTTAATAGTGATAATTGGTCCCTAAATTTAAGTGCTACCAATAGTTAAATTAATTTCCAAATATATGTTTTCAATAAATAGTAGTAGTTTTTCTTTTTAAAAGAAACTAATAATGAGGACTAAAGCCAGAATACTTTGTACAAATATGCAAACTAAACATACTTAACGTGCGCTCTTGTGTTGCTATGACTCACATCCAGCCGCTCTATTCACCGACTGCCTGCTGCATACAGCACACTCAACTAATCAGCAACTGCAAGTTTGCCGTACAAGTGGCAGTGAATTTTTGAAAGATACTCTTTATAGCTTTATAGGAAGGCACTTAGCAAATAAACCTGGCATTGTGCCACTGGCCATTTTCACTGGCCTCCATCATTTTCACATCTAAAGGAGCAAGTACGCAATTTTGAGTTAAGATTAGAGATAGAAACTCAGGAAATCTGCCTGAATATATATATATATATATATATATATATACATAGAAAATCAAGTAGGCACATTCAACAGCATTGTGAACCTAAATATATGTGTTGCCTCATCCTTAAAAGTCATCTGAATTGAGTTTTTGATGTGGTTGGATTTGTGTGTGGGAAACATAAGTCATTGTGTGGGATTATTTAAATGTGTGCGATTGTAAAGTTTAGGAGCAACTGAGTTTCCCAGGCATCACGTGTTGCACAGATTCTGGATTGTAGCTTGGTGTTTCATTAAACATTTTAATTACTCCAAAGTTGTTATCTGTCACAGCTATGCTGATAATTTTCTCACAGCCAAGCTTCACTCATGTAAACAACAATTTCATTCGCACAAGCCACAGTATTTCCTAACCAACCCTGAGAAAAATCACTCAGAGGTTGATGTTTCATAGTTTAGAAGACCTAATGGAGGTTTCGGTTTCATTTAAATATCAGCTTTGTCTCTCCTAAAATCCCATAAGAGAAAAAAAAATTAAACGAGACAACTGTTGATGTTCAGAGAGCGTGCGCAGCTATAAATTAAAGTCTGTGATTTTTCATTCCTAATTCGTAACGATCTGCAGTCCATTTGCGTTCTAGGATTCGTTCTAGTAATTTTCTAGTAATGACTTCATAAATTCATGCAATTTATATTCCATAAACTGAAAGGGCTTCCCAAACCCTGTTCCTGGAGATGGACCATCCCACAAAATTCATTTCCAACTCTAATCAAACACACCTGAACCAGCCAATCAAGCAAGCACTGCATCCCAACTTCATTATCATCCATCCTAAATAGTATGCGATTAGAATTAGATTGTATAGCATCTGCATGCTTTTTAGGCTATTATAGCACACAATCCTTTGTGCAACAGAATAAATTGCAGAAAAATTACGCTAATGATTTCAAACAGACTTGCTTTTTATTTTTTTTATTACCCCTTTTTATATTCCAGTCTGTCAAGCATTTTGAGTTGCATTTTATGTATGAATTCAGAAAAGGTGCTATACAAGTATTATAAATTTTTTTGTGCTGTCAAACGATTAATCGCGATTAATCGCATCCAAAATAAAAGTTTTTGTTTACATAATATATGTGTGCATACTGTGTATATTTATTATGTATATATAAAGACACACACATACAGCATATATTTTGAAAATATTTACATGTATATATTTATATTAATATAATTTATATTATATATATATATTTAATATATAAACGTAACACATTTTTCTTAAATATATCCATGCATGTGTATTTATATATACAAAATAAATATACACAGTACACACACATATCTTATGTAAACAAAAACTTTTATTTTGGATGCGATTAATCGCGATTAATCATTTGACAGCACTAATTTTTTTCCACACCCTTGAGGCATATTTTACGCATTTCCATCAAAAGCTCCATAAAAGTTTCCTCTATTTTGTAAGCTCTATTAGAGTTGTGTGCAGGAAGGTAGAACTACAGGAACAGGGTTTTGCCACTTATTTAGATGCTATTTCAAGAAATATATTTCACTGGTCTCAGACCAGCAGCGATGCAAAGAGGAAAATGTGAACGCAGCCAAGCTGATACCTGACTGGACCAGATTGCTCTAAATTCAGTGTCCAATTCTCAACTAATGCTAAAGCAAATTCCAGACCGGTCATGGATAAGAAAACTACTGCTAAGTTGGAAATGAGTCATAACATTTCAGAAGCCAGTAAGCATACTGAGTGTGACTGTTTTTTTTGAAAGCTGTGATTCAATAACAGACGCTCATTTCTGTGATGAAAAATAGTCATAGATCAATCGCCTGTGAAGATGCCAACTTGGAAGCGCTGTTTGTTTTGACAGTCGATTTGTAATTACTGTTTTAATTCCAACCGCACATTAAAACCATCAGTGAGTTGGTTTTACATGATGTACTGACGTAACAAGCTTTAATCTGTCAAGAAAATTGAAAGAAAATCTGCCTACATTAATTAGGAATGAACTATTTTAGAGTAAGAAATGTGGAGGAGAGATGGTGCCCCACTGACCTATCAGTGTGCAGCACCTCTCCGGTCTTGGGGTTGATAACGTGAATGATGATGCCTCTATTGCCCCAGCTCCTTTCGAAATGGTAGCTGTTCTCATTACCCTGCCCAGGATGGAGGGTTTTGTTCAGGAACGTCCAGGACAGCTTCTTTTCGCCGTGAATCTCCAAGGTTCCTCCGGTTCCTACGCCAATGTACTTGCGGCCAAAATAACTGTGTTCGACCTCGGTGTCATCAGACCTTTTTCAAAACAACAACAAATCAGTTTATCAAATAGTCCTATGAATTTAGAATTGAAGAGAATGCTTTTTAAATTCCTGACTAGATCGCAATCAACTGTGATTCGAAATTAATCTATATATCAATTTATTTATCTTATGTGAATCTTGAATAACCTAAACGGCACCTAGTAAAATAAACTTAATCATACCTAGATTTTAAATTACTAATAAACTTCTTCTTATATTAGAATTTATTTCTTACAACTAATATCAGTGGCATTCAACCCATTCCATCTGATTACAATTTAAATATAAGCAGAATTAAAGTGGAATGAAATTGAAAGAAATTCATATAACTGTAATTTTCACTAGAAAAGCAAAGTTGATCTGAAAACATACAAAGCAATAAAGTTTTAAGATTTTATAGGCCAGATCATTCAGGACAGTGAATCATTCATTAAAATGATTCGTTCAAAATCACTGATTTATACTGGAATGAAACGTTGTGAGTGAATCACTGAGTCACTCATCCAACCAGGTCTTTAAACAATTAGTTTAAATGATTTTTTTTTTTTTTGGAGAAAATGATGCAAGCTTAGTGTTTACATTTTTAATTTACATACTTCCATATTTTTCTTCAAATACTTCATTGTTTGTTTATTGCATTTTATAAATGAAGCAAATAACATTTTATCAGAAGCTCTAGTAAATTACATGTTATTTTGTTAGTAGACTAATGTTCAACAATGTTATGAAAAATCTTCTTCAGAATCATAAAAAACATGACTGTTATTTTAAACAGTAAAAAAAGGTGATTCTCAGTTTATCCAAAATTGTGCACATTAACCAAAATGCATTGCCTGTACTGAATTAAAATTCAGTAAAAATTCCTTTTTTAGCATTGCGATTCAAATGACCATACAACTTCCTGTAAGGTTCGGCCAATTCAAATTTGCAGTCAAGAACTGAATGGCAGTCGGTTAACCGATTCTGAATCTAGCCCAAATCCTTTAAGATTGCTTAAAATTACAGGTTTAAAACATTTCCGTCCGTCAAATTCTCCTCCAAAACTTTTTGTGATGTGTAAGTGCTCTTATGAAGGCTGCAGGAGTGTTTCAGCAAGTCTGATGATTTTTCAAAGCCTGTATTCATACCTGCCAAAGAGAGAGATTGTGAGGTTGCCTTTGTAAGGGCATTCTGGACTGCCGATGTGAAGTTCACCCTTGTTCCCGATGAGGATGTGCTTAGCCCGCAGAAAAATGGGTCGAATGGAATCAGCGATCACAAGCTTCCCTAAAAAGAACAAACAAAATCAAGACAGTCCCGATCTTTCACCCTTGATTTTCAACCAATGAGGATGCTTTCCAACTCTAACTCTAGTACAAAAAAAATTAAAAAGATGATTACTGGCATGGAATGTGATGGAATTCCCCCATCAAATATTCCACGCTCAGGGCGACCCTGAGATGAAATGTGTTTTGATTTAAGCCTGTCAAGGCTCTTGTCGCCTTCATCATGACGGACGTAAATCTTTATGGCACTTTAATGTTGTGAAGATGTTTGAAAGAGTTTTATTAGGAAGATCTACCTCCGTTGAGGATCTCGATGGAATGGACGGTCGTGGATGAGGTGAGGATGACTTTGCGGCCGTAACCGATGGTGACTCTGTGGGCTTCATTGTGACCGGGAGTCCAGGGTTGTAGTCCAGACATCTTATCTGGACAAACTGGAAAAGATATAGACATTTAAATGTGAATAAGTAACAGAAGTCATGCTGCATGTTCAGAAATACATAGTCACCTTTTCAATAGATTCTCATTTATTACAAAATAAAAATTTCCTTGAGCTACTGAGATTAAAAAGCTTAACATACTATGAAAACACAACTTTCAGAACTCAAAATGTCCTTTCCAACAAGAAAAAAAACTCACGACTATAATAAATCGACCTCAGGGTCACAAAAATATATACATATGATACAAGGAAAAAAACTACAAATGAAACTTTTTGAGATGACCTATATATCTCAGATGTCTAGACTAAAAACTGACCATGATGACTGTTCAGTTCGTCTGCTATTACTGCGTTGATAAAAATAAGTCAGCGGTTGAACCACAGGCAGATGTTTCTGACTGCAATCAGACTTTTTTAGTGTCACCACATATTAAAAGGGTCTCATTCTTCCCTTTAATGCTGTAAAAACCTCTGAGAAGCCACACACTTGATTTGAATACATCATCATGAGCATTTCCATATCTCTGCTTTGAAATGAGAGTAAAGGGCTTCACTGAGCTTTCCAATGCATTTTCTTCTGCGTTACAAAAAGTCAAAGCCTTGAGATGCAGCAACAAAAATAATGACAGTAATAATCACCCAGAGGAACGGCTTATTGCTCTTTCATAGCTCAGGAGACTAAGGGTATCAGTTATGTTCATTTGTGACCCTGGAGCACAAAACCAGTCTTAAGTAGCACGGGTATATTTGTAGCAATAGCCAAAAATACATTGTATGGGTCAAAATTATTGATTTTTCTTTTATGCCAAAAATCATTAGGATATTAAGTAAAGATCATGTTACATGAAGATATTTTGTAAATTTCCTACCGTAAATATATTAAAACTTATTTTTTGATTAGTAATATGCATTGCTAAGAACTTCATTCGGACAACTTTAAAGATGATTTTCTCAATATTTTGATTTTTTTGCACCCTTAGATTCCAGATTTTCAAATAGTTGCATCTCGGCCAAATGTTGTCCTATCCTAACAAACCATACATCAATGGAAAGCTTATTTATTTAGCTTTCAGATTATGTACAAATCTCAATTTCGAAAAATTGACCCTTATGGCTGGTTTTGTGGTCCAGGGTCACATTTTTGTTCAAGTATAAAGTCATTATTCTCCAGAAATTTAGCAGAAATAGAAATAGCTGAGTGTAGAGTTTACCCTCAGAATTAAAAGTACATTATATAAATAAATAGATAGATAGATAATTAATAATTAGATAGATAACAGAAATAATTAATTTGAAGTACTAAAAATACTAAAACTGAAAAAAACTAAATAAAAAAGAAATACATAAAAACTAGAAATACATAATAGAATGAGAGAAAATATAAAAATAAAAGCTAATTCAAAAAATGTACAAATATTTTTAGAGTATACAAAAATAGTAAAATAACACTCAGTTAAATTAATAAAAAAATAATAGCACTTCATGAGAAATGGTCTTTTTCTCAAGAGAAGCAAGAAAAATACTTTTTCTTACCTAAGGGAGTATTAGCCCAAGTTGCAATTAAAAATGAGGAATCTAGCACATCGTGAAGATGTTTGGGAGGATACAGTCAATTACTGGGAGCGAGAGATTTGCATTAGACCAATTATAAAGTTCATAATCAGGATTCACTTCAGCTATTTGCAACATTGCTTTGGGTGGACATCTGACATGGAGGGTCACCTAACAGTAGTGCAGAGGTCTCTTATAAAGGGATCAAACACACAATCATGTATTTGTCTTTTATTTTATTAATCAAAACATGCAAGGAAGGAATAAAGGAATAGTTTATCCAAAAATGAAGAAAAAAAAAAAGAAAAGAAAAAAAGTTCACCCAAAAATTTAAATCTATAAAAATGTACCAACACTCAAGCCATCCAAGATGTAGATGAGTTTGTTTCTTCATGGGAACAGATTTGGAAAAATGTAGCATTACATCACTTGCTCAGCAATGGATGCTCTGCAGTGAATGGGTGCCGTCAGAATGAGAGTCCAAACAGCTGATAAAAACACCACAATAATCCACACCACTTCAGTCCATCAGTTAACGTTTTTTGAAGTAAAAAGCTACATTTTTGTAAGAAATAAATGCATCATTAAGACATTTCCAAGTTCAAACTGTGGCTTCCAAAATACGAGTTCTCTATATGTGTAATATTGCTTTCTCCAGTGAAAATCTCATCTGAGTCAGGAGAGAAATATGCACACTGTTTACAAGCGAAAAACAGTTCCAAACAAATATGTTCTTGGATTTTAATTGAGAGGAAAATTAGAGATGGACTTTTTCACTGGAGCAAGCGTCATTATGGATTATATTTTGGCCACAAGTGACAGCTTAAACTTAAAAACATCTTAATGATGGTTTTGTTTCTTGAAAAACTCACAGCTTTTCACTTCACAAGACATTAATTGATGGACTGTTGTGATGTTTTTATCAGCTGTTTGGACTCTCATTCTGACAGCACCCATTCACTGCTGAGGATCCATTGCTGATATAATGCCTAATTTTTTCCAAATCTGTTCAGATGAAGAAACAAACTCATCTACATGTTCGATTGCATACACAACACTCAAATGCTCCACTATATTTTGATATTAATTCATTTAGAAGTACTTATTAGCAGCTTTCTCTCACTTTTGTCACAAAGTTGTTTTCATAAGCAGTATATATATATATATAAAAAGCTGGAAGCATAGCTAACTAAAGGGACAGGCAATGAAAGAACAACAAAGTAACTATTAGATAAAGTGTGCCTTTAATAAATTACCCCATTCATCCTGAACTCAGCTCTCAGAGAACAACACAATCAAAGAAAACACAGCAGCCTGTCATTTCAAACAAATGCTTTTATGTGACCACTAACTAGCTGTCCTGAAGTGATACATTAATCTCATCGCCAGCCTTTACAATACACAGAATCCATGCCGCGAAACAAAATTGTGAAAAGCCATCACGCTTTGTGTCGTTAACAAAAAGCTGTTCAAATGCAGATTTTCACAGAGGAATCCACTAGCTCAAAGGCATTGCTGGATATACCACAAACCCAAAAGAGTGATCTCACTCTAAATGCACATAAAACATGTTTTTGCATGGATTTGTGCGATGGTATTGAATCATGCAACCATTATGACCATCTACTGTAGAATGCATTCATTTTGACTTTTAATGTGGAAGGCCATGCTGCTTTGTTAGAATTGCAAATCACATTTCCAACTACAAGGTCTGAAAGCAACTTTGGTTTGTTAAATTACAGTAAAGCTACTTTGCTGAGTTGAAGGGAGCAGAAATGCACTACATTTACGGGCCTGTAAAGATACGGATTGTGCTGTTGGGTTTTGGCTTAAAACTGAGTTAGCTGGACTAGAATGAAACACGGTGGAACAAAATTCTCAAAGGGCTTCTGTGGGTTTGGTGAACTAAATCCAAGAGCCTTCTTCTGTAACAAGACTCTTAGTCATGCGGTCTCTCTGTTGGACGGATTAAAAATGCACATAAAACATGTTTTTGCATGGATTTGTGCGATGGTATTGAATCATGCAACCATTATGACCATCTACTGTAGAATGCATTCATTTTGACTTTTAATGTGGAAGGCCATGCTGCTTTGTTAGAATTGCAAATCACATTTCCAACTACAAGGTCTGAAAGCAACTTTGGTTTGTTAAATTACAGTAAAGCTACTTTGCTGAGTTGAAGGGAGCAGAAATGCACTACATTTACGGGCCTGTAAAGATACGGATTGTGCTGTTGGGTTTTGGCTTAAAACTGAGTTAGCTGGACTAGAATGAAACACGGTGGAACAAAATTCTCAAAGGGCTTCTGTGGGTTTGGCGAACTAAATCCAAGAGCCTTCTTCTGTAACAAGACTCTTAGTCATGCGGTCTTCTCTGTTGGACGGATTAAAACGAGGCTAAAAGGATGTCGGTATATTTTGGATGGCCACATGCTAACCTCTGATACTGTACATCAGGCAGTGTCACAATTCAGCCTGTAAAGTGACAGCAGATAACAGAGGTATAACAGACAGAAAGGGCAACTAATAATTTTAGGGGAGAGAAATTATGCAACTAAGGCTATAAAACATAAGGTTATGTTAATATGTCAGAAACTCAAGGATTTGAAACTTCATGCTTTCAAAGAATAAACTCTTGTATTTTGAAGATAAAAAGGGAATTTCGTTTTATATTTTTAATTTGATATTTTGTTTTATTTTATAATTTAATTTTAAGTATTCCTAAAATAAAATACTTTCTTAAAAAGATTAAAAAAAAAATTTTCATTATATACCTTTTTTTAATTGCATTTTTTAAAATATTTTATAATTTTATTCAAAGTATACTTTATGCTTTCAAATTACAATGAACTATTGTTCAAAGAAACTTTATATTTTATTTTATTTTATTCACAGCATACTATATGCTTTCAAAGTAAAATGAACTATTGTAGTTTAAAGATACATTTATCTTTACATATTTCATATTTTATTTATATTTTTAATTTTATTTCATATTTTTATTTTATTTTTAAATATTTTTCATATTTTTATGTTAATTTTACTTTATTTTTATTTTATTTTATATTGTAATTTCTTATTTTATTTAATGTAAAAAGTCATGCCATTGAAACACCATATAAATCAATTATGCTTTCAAAGTACAATGAGCTGTATGATAATATTTTATTTTATTTTTATATTATTTTATTTCATGTTTTATTTAATATTTTTATGTATTATTTTATCTTATATTTTCTTTCTTTCTTTCTTTATTTATTTATTTTATTTTATGCAAAAAGTCATGCAACTGAAGCACTTCGTGATTAAAGTGAAACAGAAGAGCAAGAGAGACGGAAACTCACCAGCCTGAGCGATGTGAAGAACAGCTACTACAATAAAAGCAACACAGATCTTCATTTTCAGCACTGTTGGTTTGGTCCAGAGTTTAAAGGCACCTCACCTGCAACACAAAACACAAAAAGCTTCATTTACATCTAAAGCTGAACTGTGTCATTTCTGTGCCACCAAACGTAATTGCAAAAATAATTATTGTTTTCCTATTTCTGCAACTGTGTGAGTGAATTATTCACATTTCCAAGGCAAATCGACCTGTCCCAATGCATACTGAGTTGTAATCTGAGTATTCCATTGAAAAAAATCCCCTTAAGCATGCTCGATTTATTCTGGGCATGTATGACACCATGACCAAACATGTCACTGAGCGTGTGTGAAGTTGGCATAGAAACCGGCCAGCGATTTTGTCAGTTTGCCAGAATCTGAACGTGTCGGACCCCAGTTTTGCATTCATTTGAAACTTGCTAGATCTGAAGGTTACGTGGTTATCTTCAAAGAGATTACAAGAGCACCAGCAATTCGACTTGAACCTCCATAAAGGATCAAAGGCTCCGAGGGGCCGAGGGCTCAGGTACTGCCTCGCTAATAACGGTGTGCTTGTTTAAATGCACTTACATAAAAAGTTACATAACCGATATAGACATACACGGGATCCTGTTTCCTGGTTTCGGTATTGCAGACTCCAGCTATGCTTGACGGACCAATTATACGACGAGGAAAGAGACACGACAATGCTTCCTTTGACTAACCCATGCCATTTTAAACGGTAAATGTATTCTTGCACATAAAATCTGTGCAAATTCAGCCTAAATGAGCTGTTTTCGTTGATATTGTGCATTGGCATTATTATGTTGTGATGGTTATTAGCACTGCCAATCTGCCCGAGGCGGGATGGCTTCCTTGTCCCAAAGTAACGGTTGCATCATGACCTGTCCGACATGTCAAGCCTGCGCTGTTATGCATCTGCTCCGTGTAGCATGCGAATCCGTCTTTGTTATATATTGAGGAACAATGGTCTGCAACTGCCAACTTCTCATCATATTGGCACCGCAATCCGTTCCCATCTGTGTCTGTGCAAAGGATTGTGGGAATATTGCAAAGATTGTTTGTCTGGTTTATTCACGACAATGCTTCCTTTGACTAACCCATGCCATTTTAAACGGTAAATGTATTCTTGCACATAAAATCTGTGCAAATTCAGCCTAAATGAGCTGTTTTCGTTGATATTGTGCATTGGCATTATTATGTTGTGATGGTTATTAGCACTGCCAATCTGCCCGAGGCGGGATGGCTTCCTTGTCCCAAAGTAACGGTTGCATCATGACCTGTCCGACATGTCAATGTTATGCATCTGCTCCGTGTATCATGCGAATCCGTCTTTGTTATATATTGAGGAACAATGGTCTGCAACTGCCAACTTCTCATCATATCGGCACCGCAATCCGTTCCCATCTGTGTCTGTGCAAAGGATTGTGGGAATATTGCAAAGATTGTTTGTCTGGTTTATTCAAAATGCATTGCAAGTGACAATATGTTACAGCTGCGCAAGAGTGAATAAACCAGCAAGACGACGATCAAACCAGCCAACTATTTCATTTACGGACTCTCATGTCGTTTTTTTTCTTACATGCAACACAAAAGGAGAACGAACAAACAGACAACGATTTCAGTTTCAGTCTGTTCCTCACATGAAGCTATCGTACGACTTGGCATATGGATGCTTTAATGCTGCTTTTATGTGTCATTTTTTTGAATTTGACAGACCATCTTCCAAATGTACAGAAAAGAACAGTCTAGACACTTTGTTCCTTTTGTGTTGCACTGAAAAGGAAAAAAAAAATATATGTTTTCGCAACAAGAGGGTGAGCGGATGATGAAAGAAGTTTAATTTTTTTGGGTGCGCTATCTCTTTAAGATTAGGGTGCATCTGATAACGCAGCAGGAAATATAATGTGGCTCATAACAATGCCTGCGACGACACTGTGGCAATATAACGGTGAAAAATGAAAACTCGAGTCTGTGCTGGATGGAGTAAGACTTTATTTGAGTCTTCAGTGATCCACACGGTCATTTATTCTGCTATCAGATGTCGACCTGGAGCAACAGGAGGGTAAAACACATGGCCTCTCCCTTTAAGAGCCTTCACCTGAGACCTGCAAGAGAATAAGGAGTTATTATGGATGGAACACTAACAAAACCATACAACTTAAATAAAAGATGAAGCACGCAGCTCTTTGAACATCTACACTCACGTTCGGGATCAGTACGATTCTTTTTGAAAGAAATTCACACTTTCATTCAGCATTAAATTGACCAAAAGTGACAGTAAAGACATTTATAAGGTTCCAAAGATATCTATTTCAAATAAACGCTTAAATAAATACATATCACTGTTTTGCAGCACAACTGTTTTCAACATTGATAATAATCAGAAATGTTTCTCGAGCAGCAAATCAGCATATGAGAATGATTTCTGAAGGATCATGTGAAGGATAATCATACTGTAATCTCAGTTTTGACTCGTTGGAATAAATTACATTTTTAAAAACATTCAAATAGAAAACTGTTATTTTATATAGTAATAATATTTCAGAATATCACTGTTTTTCCTGTATCTTTCTTTAATCAAACAAATGCAGCATAGTAGACTTCTTTCGAAAATCTTTCTAACCCCAAACTTTTGAACAGTAGTGTAGATTTACACACCGCACATACAGTAACGTGTGAATGACTTCATATATTGCTTACACTGTTTAAAACCATCTGACTTTGCATTTTAGAGTTTGTAAATCCATCTTACACTGTGCAAACTGCCATTTCAAAATCACATTTAGATATGCAGCACACCGAGGGAAAATACGTTTTGCTGGTAAATAGATGTTCGACTTCTTCGCACACAAAAATAGCAGCACCTTCTCTTTCCCTGTAGTTAAAGTGGAAAAGTCAGCAGACTGCTCTTACTTTCAGCACACTGACTTTGTGCCTGGCGTGATGGAATTCGGTGAAAATTGACAGGAAAAAAATCCCCTTATTGGGTTTTCTAATGCATGTCGATTCCCTTGAGCCAAATACCACAAGATCTACGAGGCTGATGCCTGCTGAGTCGTTCAAAGGTGACATGCATCTTTCATCACAGCTCTGCATGCATTTTTAACATAAATGTGCATTACTGAGCACCGCAATTTCCTCTTCATTTAAGCACATTTTAATCTTCTGCCTATGTGTGTTAGCAGTGGACCGGCTGTCTGGATGTTGCATGCAAACGCACATATCTATCTTTAGATTTAGCCAGCTGCCCAGTGATGTAATGCATGCAGAATGACCATCTGAAGATAATGTTGCACAAATAATAAGAGGCGTTGCTAAATCAAGCATCATGATTAATCTTGCTCATACCTATGGTTAGTGATCTAACCAAACCACTTAAACTTAAAGTATTCAACTTTGCGATATAAGTCGTCTATCACCATTTGTGCTACATACATGAATGATACTGTACCTCGAATGATGCACTTTGATAGACTCTACAAGCAAAACCATAGTTTTTTAGGTTAATTTCGAGATTTTGGGTAATTTCGCTTCCATAACTTGCCTTCTTTCAGACTAGTGGAAAGAAAACGTCCAAAATACACATTTATGTGTTTTATATTATTATCATTTATCATTTATCATTTGTCTGTAGATTTCAATTACTACAAACAAAAACGGTCTCATATTTTGGCCAGAAGGAACAATTTAAAGTTAAAACATCTTAAATATGGATTTGTTTCTAACAAATATGCAGCTTTTTGCTTCACACAATGTTAATTGACTGACTTATTTGGATAAAAGGATGTTCCACATGCAAAAAAATTAATAAAAAATTATTTTTATCTGGTGGACAAAAAAGTGAACAAAAAACATCCAAAAGGAGGAGCCCAATCTAGACAGCAGAATATCAGAGATTTGGATGTGGGCTCAACTAGCAATCACCCAAAAACCTTAGCAATGGCCCACAACACTCTAGCATTAAGGCGGAGAGTTTTGCACAATAAAGCTCACCTCACATCTTCTCCAGAAAGCGTACAAATTGATTTTCTTTTCACGTTGCTCTGTTGCAGACCGCTCCTGCATGCCCTCTCAGACTTCTTTACAAATCCCCAACACAGAGAAAGTCTATTCCAAAACATTACATCACCCTAGTGAAGACAAGCTTTGCTCGATCCAGACCTCGCCTCCCGGATTTACCTCCCAATGCTATCTGCGTCTGAGTCAAATATCTCTTTCAGGGCTGTCTATCTTCTTACAGAGACTGTTGCCCTCCGTGGCCCTCGCAGATAACACACTTCCACCCCTGTCCTTCATGTTGACCCTGTCCTATCAGCACAGAACAAAGGAACTCACACGCAACAAAGTCTGCCGTCTCAGAGTTTCTATCGCAGTTACAGTCATAATATAGCTGGAAATTCACTGAAGAAAAATGGTCTGTATTAGGGATGTCAATCAATTCAAATTTTAATTGAATTAATTACATCGTATGAAGATTAATTAATCCAATTAAAAGTAATTAGTTGCATATATCAATGCGACAACAAGACAATATTGCAGACGAGCAGACAAAAAATTGCTTCAGTTCCATATCACTGAACAATGAAGTTTAATTCCCGCCTACTTTCCTAATTTCCCGCCATTTTGCAATTGAGTTTGTCGTTAAGATGATATTTGCATATCTGTTTTTATATCTGTTTTTCTGAGCAGCAAATCAGCGGATAAGAATGATTTCTGAAGGATCATGTGACACTGAAGACTGGAGTAATGACGCCGAAAATTCAGCTTTGCATCACTGGAATAAAGTACATTTTAAAATATACAGATATTTGGAATTGTAATAATATTTCACAATATTACTGATTTTACTGTACGCTGTAGAATCTAAACGACCTCATATATATATATATATATATATATGCCCTGTTGTACATGGTATAGCAAAATATCTCCTGTACATGAACATGAGTCGTACTGATCAGGGAAGGGAATGCACACAAGAGGATGGGAGGTTTTTCTTTTCCCTTTCATTACCCTGAAATATGTTTCAAACATACTGGCTGACTTTTACAGGAGCAA